CAATTTTAATAGTCTCTGCTCTTAAACTTTTATAAAAAAATAATAATAATAAAAAATTTAGAGACTTTGTTGTAGAATTGGAATTCGTAATTTCCGGAGCAAATTTATTGATCCACGTGAAAACAAAAATAAAAATGGAAATTCTTCTTAAAAATAACATATGGTGGACCCCAATGCCCCTGCACAATCTAATTTGTAAACTGATGTATTCAGATTCTGGCATTATTTTAATCGGTGGACTTGTTGTTTGAGTTGACGTTTCAAAAATTTACGAATGCGAGTAATGTTTTTTAGTCAAATAAATATTAGGGTAAAAAACATGACGGTAGATTCAGAAAAAACTGAAGTATTGACATCGCCGCACGGGCAGGATCCAAGCTTGCTTCCCGTGGGAAACAGTTCAAATCCTGAATACAAAAGTTATCCACACTTGGACCATTTAAGTTCTTAATAATTCCCCACTCGAAAAGGCCCCATTGTACGGCTATTAGGTCGAGAGAGGTTGAAAACTGCATTTCGGTGGTGACCACATTGATTTACTTCAACAACTAACTAGACCATCGGTTAAAGCGAAAGTAGCAAATCAAAGCTAAAATCTTGATCAGCTCTTTCTCTCTGTCTTTGAGTTTCTCATTTTCAATCTCAAAGCTAGAATCTGATCGAGTAAAAGATTGAATTCTTTCTTCTTGTTCTCTCTCCCAATTATTCCTCATTGATTAAACATTTATATTTCCATATCACTTTCTTCATATCCTTTTTGTCTGTCATCATCGATTTTCTGGGATTGATAAGTGACCAGATCTGGGAGCAGTTTTGGAGAAAAAGCTGATTTTTATTTACTAGATAGATTTCTTTCATGAATTGTTTTTTTGTGTCCATTAGTACTGTTTCATGCCGTACTTGCCTGTAAATATCTTTCCCCACTTGCATTGTGGTGTGTTATTTTTCTGTTGATTAACCACCTTTGAGCTTCTATCACCAAACTTAACTTGAATATCCATTCCCTTGAAACCCTTTTCTGGCTATTTTTTATCTTCATATCAAATTTGAGTTTATGTCGAAGTAATGATCTTTTTGCTTGCAACCCATGTTTTCTTCTGAAGAAAACTTGGCCTCAGATTAAATGTTTTCCATACACTTAGGAAGGCGGTTTTGGTTCTCTTTCCGGACAACCCTGCTTGCTTTTGGTCCTATTTCGTAGTAACATTGGTGGGTTTTTGCTTGATTCTTAACGTATCTTTGGTTCCTTAGCTAACCTAGAGGCTGGAAGATTTCGGGTTTTATTACCCAAAATGAGAAAACTATATAGGAAACTTGTGTTGATGAGAAGCCCAATGTGAAGTGCGAGGAAAAATGTCCATTCCCATTCGGGAAGGGTGTTTAGCGATAGAAAATGGATTATCCCTTTTCTTGCAAGCTTACTTGTGGCAATTACTTTGTTGTTCTTTGCCATTTTTGGGTTGTTCAATGCTCCATACGGTGGAGATCCGTTGCCATTTGACATTATTTCCTTTGCAAGAGCGGGGGACTCTAGTGAGTATTTTGTAGAATCAAATTTAAAGAAATCGTTTAATACAAGTGGCTATTCAAATGTGGAACCACCTAGACTAGCATATCTTATTTTGGGGACAAAGGGAGATAGTCATAGGATGATGAGGACCTTGCAAGTAGTGTATCACCCGAGAAATCAGTATGTTTTGCGTTTGGATCTTGAGGCTCCTCCACGGGAAAGGTTGGAATTGGCAAATATGATAAAGAGTGATACAACTTTTCGTGAAGTGGAGAATGTGCACGTAATGGCACAGTCCAACTTGGTAACTTACAAAGGTCCTACAATGATTGCTTATACCTTAACAAGCAACTGTAATACTATTGAAGGAGAGCTTGGAGTGGGATTGGTTTCTAAACCGGAGTGCCTTTGAATATACCCTTGTGACTCAAGATGGTTAGTGCTAAGACTTTGGCTGTTTATCCTTTTATTAGCAAGGCTGTTTCTCTTGTTGTTATTATGTCTATTTGTCGTTGTGAGAGGCTCTTCTATAGGTTTAAGGTTTAAGGAGCATTACTGTGCCTTAGTACGAATTTTAACTCTAAATTGTTTGAGAACTTTGCTTGCCACCACCTATCTTTATCACAATTACTTGAATTATCTGCAGTAATTGTTATATAAATAAACTTGATTTTGCATATATGTGGCACTCTTGAGCTTCATTCTTGATTCTGTGGGAATTTATAACTCAAGGTCCAGACTTTGAAATAGAATTTTAAAGAGTGTGGAAACTTTTAACTTGAGTTCTAGTAAAATTTATTTTTATGAGGGGGCTCAATCAATTGTCTAACGAATTTTAGATTTCACTCGATCCTAGGGATTTTTTGAATGAGTGACTTGTACATTTGTGCTCCGCAGTTCTGCTTAAGCAACTTAATTTGCATGAGATTTATTCAATTCTTTTATGCATCATTGGCTGTGTTTCTAGACATTAGGTTGCAACTTTTGTTAATTTCTGCTACCTGGGATTTGCATAGGCCAATTTGAGAGACATCTGAGTGGTCCAGTAATTGCCGCTAGTACTACCTTGTTAGTTTCATTTATGGGTTAAAATGTTTGAAAGAGCTCCATGTGTATGTTTCTTTTTGTCATTATGACATGCATTTTTTGTTGAGTTGTGGAGTGTTTCAGAAATTTAGGGGTGTGTTAAAAGGTTTGCTCTTTCTAGATTGTTCGCTGAAGAATATCTGATATGTGTTCTGATTGTGCGGGTTTGCTGCATGTTTTCTCCAATTTGTCAAGAAATCTCAATTTCATTCAACATACGTAGATTACTGGTTAGAAGCTGTAAGATTCATACCTAGTGTACATGCTACTCTTGAATATTCCTTTTCTTATACCCTAATGTGACCCAGTTTCCATGTGCTTTTATGTGCTTTTGCAGGAGCCATAGAGCAAAACCAATCATAGTTGATCCAGGCCTTTACTTTTCGAAAAAGTCTGACATTGGTTGGACCACGCAACACTGATCACTGTCCACATCTTTCAAGTTGTATACAGGTTGATTATTATGTCTTCTTTCTTGTTTTTTTGAGCACACCATACTCTAGGCTTTCTCGAATCATAGGTAGATTGCTTGCCCTTCACCTCTTATGGTTTTTTAATGGTCATAATGCATTTATGTCAATTGTATTATGTCGAAATCCCAAATATTGTTTTATAGTCTTGAGATTGCTATGGTCATAATGCATTTATACTTTCCGATGTTTGGGCCAATCCATCTCTTAAAACTTGGAGTAAGAAAGTTCTCTTCGCATTTGTAAACAAGTTTTTTTTTTTATGTTAGGTTTCCGTCCTACCCTTATTTTGTTGTAGGGAACTGAAAAGCTTCAACCAGCTATTGATTTGGAAAGTAAAAACTGTGAAAGCAATGTTTTTGCCTGGGGCCAGAGCCTACAATCAGGCTTTAGGTGCTTATATTTACAAACATGAGCTGTACTCCATCTTTCTTCTTTGTGTGCAACTTGCTGAATTTCCATCCTTCGCTATTGCCAGAGACTAGAGGAAGGAAAGGGTTGAAAGATCACCTTTACCTTGCTACTGCTTGAGGTTTGGCAAGGCCAACCTTCTTGAGCCTTAACCTAACTCGTAACACTCAATGATTGCTTGATGCTCTGACATCAGCTGGAACAAGCCGCTTAGAAAATTGCCAAGCAGCTAGCTCTATAAATGCAGCTTCAAATCCGAAGGATGTAACTATATCTTTGGTGTTTCACATGGCCCAGTGAGAGGAAGGAGATTAGGTTGGTGAGACTAGCAATGTAGGACAGTTTTTCATCATTTGCTCTTTTATACTGACTCTACTAAGTATCATAGCTAACTCATTGCAAACAAACTTGGTGAATATGCAGTCCTTTCAGTTTCTTTTTGGCAATGCTAGAGATCAAGATCTCATTAATATTTATCCTAATTTATTTATACAATTAGTTGAATTGGTATTCAATTATTTTGAACTATAGGTATAATGTAGCTATAACTTACTGCAATGATCTCTAATAAAAATGGTTAAAACTTCCTTCCCTTGCTGGAAATAACAAATTTGAGAATTTATCTTATCGGTTGGCTCCTTCGGGATTCAGTTATTTTGGTGTATTGAGCAAGTTGGTTAAAAGCTAATACACCGGAAAGCATCTACAACTACTCAGATATGCAAGAATCATAATTTCCTGCTCCATGTCCCATAATTCTTCTCTAGGTTGAAAACTGATTTGAATAACCAAATCTTGTTGACGGTACCCATAAGCTTGCTTGTAAATTGTTTTGGGGATTCTAAATGCTGACGTTAGATTTTCTTTTTTTTTTTCTAACTTTGCTGGCCTAGTTGCATGAGTTTTTATTTCTTTTCCATAGGTATTTAAACAAGACAGTATTTCATTTTTTATTCATTTATTTGAATTGTGGAACATGATGTCTCTATGCGTGAAATTTTTTTTTCAAATGTTTGTTTTGCATTTGCTTTGTATGCAGGTTCCGCATGGGTAGCACTTACTAGAACTTTTGTTGAGAATTGTATATGGGGGTGGGATAACCTCCCACGAGCCATTCTTATGTATTATACAATTTTCCTTTCCTCTCCAGAAGGCTATTTCCACACGGTTATTTGCAACAGTGAAGAATTTCGTAGCACTGCAATAAGCCATGATCTCCACTGCATTGCTTGGGACACACCTCCAGAGCAACATTCAATCTCATTGTCAATTGAAAGATTTTGACCGTTGTTCTGTATACGGTGATGACTGTGTGTTTAGGCCAGGCCCTGGTGCCAAAAGGCTGAAGAACTCCTAAAGACGCTTCTATCTGAAGAATTTCGGAAAAAGCAGTGTTCAATGGTCAGTGGTTGGATAGCCCAAGTGAAAGTGGCTGTACTCAATAGATCACATAGCCGTTGTAAGGGCGGCAAAATTTTGTTTATTCAGATATAAAAATGAAGGTTCAATTTTATAACATTTTCCACTTTGCAACATATTTCACAAATGTAATTGGTGTAAATATACCGTTATGATGCCAATGAACAGAATATCTTCAACCGCAGCTTTTGGGATCGTGGTCTAAAAACAGTGCAAAATCTCAGCAGAGAATGGCTTAATTACAAATTGCACCTGGTTAAGAGTTATGCAACTAATGATCAAAGTCTTACATCCTTACAACATTTATTTGGAGGGTCAAATGTAGCAATTGCATCATAACCATTTTATAATTAAGCTCTGTTAGCTGATATTAAGTTTAGATAGTCATCAAGAATCATTTCAGGTGAAGAATCAGTGAAATAGCCCTTTTCCACATTCAACCCTTCTTGGGCAGCAAGCATCTCTACCCGGGACTGGACCTTGTCCGCTCCAACCCGGTTTGGCTCCAGAAGAATGCAAGCTATCTCAGTTGAGCCCTCACCATGTACCAGAGCCAAAGATTGGACCGTTGGTAGACCACCGCCTCGAGCACTCACCATTCTTGCAATACGGCGAACGACAGAGACATCTGTTGAATTGATGGGTACGTTGTACAGTCCAACCCATGGGCATGCCCCGATCATGGTGACGCCTCTAGCTCGAGATACCCTGGTTGGGCCTTCATCGGGCTTTTCAGAGAGAATTTCAGGCATGGACCAGCCGGTCCATTGGTTGCCCATGAAATTGGGTCTGTAGTAACCAAGCTCCCGCCTAATGGTGTCCAGGGCCTTGCCTGTTGGGTGTGCTGCACCATACAGAAACACTGGCACTGCAAGTGCAAGTGCAAGTGCAACATCAAAGAAAAGCTCAGAACTTTCTGACAAGGATCTTCCGAGGACGGTGCGTGTTCAAACTAAACTAAATACGTTAATGTTAATCAAAAGAAATCACAATGTGCAGACAAAAACTTCTATAAACAATGTTATTATAAAGTTGTATAATACTAATTGGACTGACCTTGAAATCTGTTGCCAATGTCTGCTGCGACAGCCTTAGCAAGCCAAGCTGCTTCATCCAACGATGACCGAGGCAAGGGATGCAAAACAATGTCATCAACCACGCCGAGCCGAGGGTGTGCACCAGAATGCAACTCAAGGTTTATGGCTCCATAACCAGCCTCAACCATGGCCAGGACAGTTTGTTGCAAGGGGCTATAAATAGCATTGCCCGTGCTGTCATGAACAACATATGAAACAAGAGTGTAGCGTGTCCTGTTGTATGCTCGATCCTCAAATTTGTTCACGATGACAGTTTCTGGGTCTAGCTTTGCAGCTCTTTCTATGGCGTCAAGGGCTGGACGGCTACGTGATTCAGAGAAAAAGATCTTGCAGCATAGCAGCATGGACTGATTTGCAACCATTTTGTTCTGGTGGAAAAAAGGGGGAAATTTATGACAAAACCTTGAGATTGTGATTCAGTCTGTTTCAGGAGATGTTTATTGTAATTCTCAGTAGTTATCTCCTACCAGTTAACAATTTATAAATGATACCGTAAAATTAGAGAGAGATGCATATGATTCATGAATCTATTCCAAGAATGGTTTGCTCTGTTTTGGGGACAAAAATGCTGCCCTGGGAATTTATTCAAGTAGCAAAACTTAGCATGGAGTTAAAAAATTCCATAAATAGAGCCAATTTGTGGTCTCCCCCCCCCCCCCCCCATCCTAAAAAAAAACATTTTGCAGTTAATTTTCCAGTTGGATTGGATAAGCTGGAAACTGAAAAAACCAGGAGGCAGGGAGTGGCTGGAAGAACAATTAGTAAATCACCGGTCATCGCTTTCCCATTTCCAAATGAGAAATAGTAAATCACCCTGTTCTTTTCATGAACAACAAAGGCTACTTGCCCTTTAATTGAATCTACTGCTCATACCATCCCAGCATTCCTCAACGAAAAAGGAAAAAAGGGTCAATTTGTTTGTCTTAAGAGATGTACTGACATGCGATCAATGTGGAGTTAGAAACAGCAGGACCTTACCTTGCAACTTGAGCTAAGATCCATTGCTTCCCTCTTCTCGTGGTTTCCCGTCTTCTTTCTCACTTCAACCTGAAAATTTCCCTATCAAACACCTTAGCACCTAGCAACTGCTACAATAGCCAAAGGGGGCTTCTTGTTCTCTTGCTTTTATCTTTGCTGTGGAAACCTTATCTTACATAAGCTCGGGACTCGGAAAGCAACAAATCCACGTATAATCCATATAGGTACAACAACCACATGCTGCATCATTGATCGACAAAAAAAACAAAAGAAGCTGCATCGGTGCTTATGAGTCGGCATTTAAACATTTGGACAGAAACATACAAGGACAATGGCCCCACAGGTCTGACACAAAATCCTCAATTATAAAGGAAAAGACTCATTAGGCTAGAAACGAACGTGAACCGCATGGTGCTTCAGATGTCACAGTTCAAAACCATAACTTGTTAAAAATGTTTAGGCCTTGGGATGATCGTTGTCATGTTAGAGAACAAACCGCAAACAAACGTCCAAACGCCTGCCTCTAGGGGTGAAAAAAAATTCAAAAATTTTTAATTTAATTTAATTTAATTTTTTTAGTTGATTTCCATCAAATTTAAATATTATATATGTATATTAAATTCGAATCAAATTTTATATTTAGATATAAAAAATTAAATGAAATAAAAATATTTTTTATTAATTTTTATATTTTTTTAAATTTGATAAAAGAAAATAACTATTATATATATATAAATTTATTTAAATATATTAAAATTTTTATTAAAATAATATATAAAAATTTAAAAACATATAGACTAAGTCAATAAAATTCTATTTAAAACTAATTGATTTAAAAAAAAAATTCAAATTCAAATCAAAATTTTAAATTTTATAATATTTTATATTACAAAAAAATTAAACCAAATCTGATGTAAATCATTATCTTCTTTGTGCCTTTCAGCCTAAGCTTCTCGGTTAGAAAATGGCATCCGAAGAGGTCAGAAGCGGCTCCATTTCACCCTTTCCTTTTGGGTCCTTTCGTATTACCATCTCTTCTCTTTTATAATAAGTTTAATACATTATTAGTACAGACAATATGGCCAAAACAACGCCCACAGATTCACGAGGAGGGCACAAAGATTTGGTTAGAGTTAGGTGCCGAGTCTTTGAGTCTGGCCCACGTGACTCGCCGATTCATGTGCCTTGGATCGCATATTCCACTTCACAAATCAAAGATATTTTATTTGTTGATCCTGACACTTTTGAAAAAGAACGAATACGTATGTACGTGTTCTCTTGGAATCTACTGATTATTTGAGTTGCTAGGACCCTTAGAACTGAGAACAAGGAACTTTATATGTTTGATTTTGACTATTAACATATTATATCTCTAACTATCAGTAAAGATGCTTTGTAAGAAACTAGATTTTTTTTTTTTTAATAATTTAAAATTTTAATTTATATTAATTTTTATAGTATATATAAATAAATTTATTTATTTATAATTATTTATAATTTGTAATTTAAAATTACAAAAATCATCTATATATAAATTATTGTGAAAGAATCCAAACATACATTATGAAAGTTTTGAAATATGAAAGTAAAATTACATACAAATTTTAATGAAAAAATCAATCTCTTGTTTACAATTACATGCACTCTTAAAATATATAATATTTTAATATGAAAACTAAAATTTATACATATGATATATCATGAAATATTTTTTCATGTTTAGTTTTGAATTTTTATCATGCCAAACTTTTGTTACGAAAATCTAATTGCTCTATCTTTTATAAAGAAGAAAATATTGATTGTAAGAAGAAATTATAAATATATATTTGATAATTATTTAATTTTAAAAAATTTTATAAAATATAATTTATTTAAGTTTAATTTTAAATTAAGATAAAAGATATTAATATAATTTTAATATTGAAATAAAATATATTTTTCTTTTATTTTAAATCATAAAAAAAATATAGGCAAAAAATTTGGTAAATAATGGTGAATATTTATTTATTTAAATTTATGTAAATATTAATTTAGACGGTGTATGATTTTTTATGATTCCTAAGATTTAGGGATTTAAGCTTTAAAAACTATTTGAATTTTGTATTTCATATACATAAGCAAAAGTGAGGTATGAGATATGTTTTTTTAGGTTTAAATTAAAATAAAACTTATATACTTTGAAATACTTGGATAAAAGGGAGAATTTGAAACTTTAAAATTTTTAAAAATTGAATAATTGATTAAATAAAATTACTTAGAACTATCTTACATATCAATAATATAGATTGTCCACTTATGTGTCCATGTAAGTAAAACTTATGTATATTGTAATATAATATTATATATGATTATACTATCACATACAATAGTGAAAGTGGTTTAGAACAAGTAAAAAAGTTGTTTTCCTTTAAGGCTACCTCACTGAAAATTTTTTTACTAAATGTTGCTTTACCGAAAAAAAATCCAAAAATATAACAGAATTTTTGTGTTAATTTCCCTCTTACTCATATGTTATGGAGAGTATGAATTTGACTTGATGGATTAGATATGAAAATAATTAATAAGTTTTCCTCTTAACTTTTCTCGAGTAATTTTCCTTTTTTTTTGGAACAAATAATGAACTCTTAGGGTAACTATTCATTATCACTAGTAATCTAAACATCTAACAAATAAAGCTTTAAAGTCATGTTTGGTATACAAGATTACGATATAATAAGATAAGATAATATTATGAATAAAAATAAATTAAATAATATCATTTTATCTCATTTTAATATATGCAATGATTAAGATAGAATAATTTATTTATTAATCAAAATTATCTTTTATTAAAGTTTATATAATTTAAATTATTGATATAATTTTTAAAAATATAATAAGACATGTAAGTTTAATCTTATGAATTAAAAATAATCTTCTCTAATTTGAGAAGATTAAATCATTTTATACAAAAATGATGATAATTTTCTTTGTAATCATATCCTCTTTTAATTAAATACAAATAAAATATAATATAAAATTATTATTATACTATCTTATCCATCAAACATAACCTAAATACCTTATTAACTGAATTTCTCCCATTGTGTTTACTAAATCCTTATGTAACTACTACTTTTGAGAAATATAATGAGCTCCCATCATTTACTTGGGGGCTCTTGGACAGATGATAAACTCACTCTCAACGCTCTCTGCTTTTTTCTTTCTTAATTTCTTTCTCAACTTATACTCCAACTCAGTGTTGTTCCACAATGCACTACTACTAAATTTACATGCAAAGTTCATATCCTCCCTCTCCCCTGCAAGCCCCTATGAACTCAACCCTAATTTGAAAAGAAGAAAAAAAATATATTGAGTTATAGACAATCTTTTTTCCCTGCACAGTTTGGCTACTTGGATTGTAATGAAAGGTGTCGGACAATCATTTGATCTTTTGTCTTTTAAGTCTTGAACTTGGCAAAAAAACCCGACACATTCTCTTCTTTGTTGCATTAAATGCTTAAGTGCTACATAAAAAGTTGGCATAACATTTCTAATTTACCTGTCAAATCGGTATCTTTAGATCCCGTATATTAGGAAACCGCACCCCAATTTTCTACTGCCCTACGGTTCAATCATGTCGAAGGCAGTACTTGCCCATGAATACTGCAGGCTAAAATGTGTCCGACCCAAGCACCTCTTCCTATTTCCATCATCGAGTAATAATACAGTGTAGCAAAATTTCTAACAATCCTTCCCCTTTATTATTATTATTATTATTTTTGTGTTGCCAACAACAATCATTTCCTTTACATAGGAACAAGCATCTCTGTCTTTGCAAAAAAAAAAAAAAAATTACGAGTGAATTGGTGAAGTTCCACTTCATGTCTAAATATTTAATAGCACCAACAAAAGTGAAGAGAGATTTTCAATTAGCTTCTGACTTAAATATCAGACACTAGTCATCTAAAATAAAATTTGCATTCAGCTGTATTCTTTTTTTATAACAAAACTGCAATTTCGTAACTTGAGCGGAAGAGCAACAAATTGGCATGCCAAGATTAGCTAATATTTATGCAGAAAGGAATTCAAACACAAGCAGTCTTCCGAATGTAAATGATGAATGTTATTCCCATAAGATCACAACATATTGATGAAGCAAAAGAATTACAGGAAAAGTTGAGATAACCATTAGAACAAAAATACCTCCAAGACCATATTTCATCCATTGTTTAGAAAGAGCTCAACTTCATATAACTTTCAATAATCTTGTCCTGTGAAAGATCGGTAAAATACCCTTTCCCTACTCCCAAACCCTCTTCCTTTGCAAGCCTCTCAACTTCAAGCTGAACTCTATCTCCTCCCACTTTACTTGGTTCCAACAAATTACAAGCCACCTCAGTCACACCATGGCTTGCACTGAAGGAAGTCCACCTCTTCTCTCACTCACTTGTTTTGCAATTCTACGAACAGCAGCAATATCAGTTGCGAGAACACAGGTACATTGTAGTTAGCAACCCAGTGAGATGCTCCAATTACAATAACACCTTTAGCTGGAGACACTTGAATTGGACCTGCATCAGGCTTCAGTGGCAATGACTCTGTTTTAGACCCTCCGAGCCATTTAATACTGCCAGAGTTAGGCTTGGAATAACCCAGTTCTCTTCTGACTGAATCAAGCAACTTCCGCTTTCATTGGAAGCCCCATAAAGAAATGTAGGTAATGCAGTTACCATTTAAGGTCATCAGCAATACAAAAGGTAAAATTTGAGGAGCTGAAAAATAAATAATACTAGCTGACATAATTATTACCGTAAACAAGTACCAAATCGTAAACCCATGTAATTTGAAAAATAATTCACAAATAGTAAGTCTGAGGGTAATGTAGTTTTTCTCATAAACAACTTTGATTCTAATAGACCATTTTTCAAATTCCAATCAAGGTGGGAGAAAAAGATGATACAATGATACTAAATCAGTAAAGAAAAACTAGAAAAATTTATATTAACAACTCATATTGCATCTTATAGCTCCAATGTGAAAAGAGGAAGTGTCTATAATAAGCGCCGTGAAGAACATGCCTCGGCCTGTTCCAGAGAGAGAGAATGAGCATGTGTTCATTGCAGTCATTTAGAAAAGCCATATAACTATAATAAAAGATCAGAAAAATGCCTGACTTTAAATCTTTGGCTACTCTACCTGACTGTAATCTTACAAATTAGTTGATTAAAGAGAGGGAATCCTCCAGGCCCCAGGATGGTAAAAAACTCACCATCCACATCAATCTAGCAGGCCAACAATTTTTTTTTTCTAAATCATTTTTCAAAGTTCCAAGCACTAATCTAACACTAGTGCTGGGAACATCTACATCACATTTGGTTCAAAAGTCAGAAACCTTTAAGTTTAGAGCCTATATCTGCTGCCAAAGATTTTGCAATAGCAGCTGCCTGGTCCAAGGAAGTATGTGCCAAGGGGTGAAAACATATATGATCAACAATTCCAAGTCGAGGATGAGTCCCAGAATGCAACTCCAAGTCAATGGTTTTGAAAGCAGCCTTAAGCCTTTAACCATGGCAAAGGCCGCATCTTTCAAAGGACGTGAATCTTGCAATCATTTTTGAGTCAATCTGGAGACAACTGTATAACCAACTCTATTGTAAATCACATCCTCAAACTTATACACAATAGCAGCCTCAGAGAATAGCTTGGCAGCTTATCCTATGGATTCCAAGGCTGCTCTATTTCGGCTATCTGAAATGTACACCTAGCCACAAGCCAGCATCTTGTTCAACATATATATATATATATATATATATATATATATTATCCTCCTCTTTCAGCTACCTTAAGATCTGCAATCAAAATATGGATATTTTGATAGACAGAGATAATAAACTGAGATAAAAGGATATTTGCAGCAAAGTTTATACGGGGGTGGGGACAAAAAGGCTGCACACAATCAACTACAATCAGTTCGCTTACATCTGAAAAACAAACGGAAAAAGAAAACAGGACGCAAACATACATGAGAAACAGATCAAGCCTGAAAATTTTTAGCACTGCTTAAAATGTGGGACAAGGCCAACTCAGTGATTAATGAAAAACCGGGCTTCAATTAAAGGCACATAAGAAGAAGTCAGGATCAAGTGCTTGATATGGAAACTAAAAATACAGCTGCTTGATGACATTATTGGTGTATTTTTGCCAAGGTTGTACCAAAAACAGAAAAAGCTTCTTAGATAATTGGTTTTAAAATTAAAAAAAAAAATTGTTTACACTATCTGTATAAAAAAAAAAAAAAAAACCAAAAACATCTGATACCTGGCAATTAAAATACCTTAAAAAAAGTAAGTAGCTCAAATCAAAATTCGATTTCCTTGGGTTTTGGGCATCCATCATATTCCAATTTAACACCCAAAGCTGCACGGATAACCCTAAACTTAAGCCTCAAAGCTTCAATAATTTCTTGGACGCTTTCGTTTTCCGGATCCATAACTGGGTATTTTTGGATCAATTCCTGCATTTGCTTAATACCCTTTTGGACCCGAGTAGAGAAACGGGTCGGTTCAATTTGGATGGCGCAGCTCCACACATCGACACAGCCCTTGTAGAAACCGAGCTCTTCGCCTGTTTCGAAGCCCGTTTTAAGACCCACTTGCCTTGCCTCTTCCTTGCCGGTCGTTATGCCGTGGTTGTAGCCTTCTTTGTAACCTTCTTGGTAATGAGTTTCTTCTAGATTTAGCGATGAGTCGAATATATCTTCGGCAGAGTCCATGGATGAAGAATCTTTCGCCAGAAGGAACGCCAGCTTCGGCAAGTTTAGGGTGGTTTTTTTTTTTTACTGAATTTTTGTGCGGCCTATAGTTTGTTCCGTGATTTAAAGGAAGTACAAAGGGCGACAACTAGTTATTTGGACTGAGCCGTTCGGTTCAATTGTTGATGGACAAATAAAAGCTTTGCTGTGTTTCAATACATATAATTTATCCTTCATTTTTTTTTTTTTAATTTTTATGGTTAAAATAATAAAAAAATCTTTAAATTTTTATTATTTTACTTAAATAAATCTCCGTGGCATCTAAATGAATTTTCATCTTTTAATTAGTATTCAAATAAATTTTTAATTTTTAATTTATATTTAAATAAATTTTTAATATGACCCTTATACATAATGCATGTAAAACACAAATTTTTTATAATCATAAATACTTGAAATAAAATTTTTCTTTATATAAAATGTCAACAATTACATGATTAAAAAGAACTAAAAAATATTGCAGTAGTTAATTTAAAATAAAAACTTATTTGATACCAAATAAAATAATTTATTTCGATGCAATAAAAATATAAAAATTTATTTAAATAAAATTATAAAATTTAAGAACATTTTTAATATTTTAATCTTCTTTTGTCTTCATACTGCAAACAAAATAAAAATTTACATATAATTAAGTAGAATTTTGCACTTGGGTATAATTAAATGATTCAATAACTTAACCTGCACTACATTGCTTTCTCAAATATAAAGTTATTATGAGAATTTTAAAGCTAATAATTAATGTACCTTTTGTTTGGGGTTTTTCTTTTGTAGTTACAGTGAAAGACAAGGGCTATATTGGCAATACACAATTTATTTTTGCGAATTATGCAAGACTATATGTGGCATGGTGTGACTAACTGGCAGAAGAGAATCTTTAACTCGAAACCTGGCAATTGGCTTCCAGTTTCAACAACGATGGAGGGTGTTTTGGTAAAACAATAGCGGAAATTGAAGTTTAAAAAGAATGCTAAGTCTCCAGAATGAGCGCCTGGAAACAGTCCCACGCTTCTACAGCCAACCTTGTTTACTCCGCTCCTGCGGTGAGTGGTATATTTACATGACAAACAACGACTAAACCCAGTTCTCCTTTTAAACGTCTTAGTTCACAAAAAGAGAGACTGACTCTTTATTGTTTCTTTTCCTTCGCCAAGTAGATGGGGAGAGAGAAAGGAGAGATGGCAATGAGAGGAGGATTAATTTCTCGCAAAGGAAATGGAAACGGGCACAGGGGAAGACCATATGGGTTGATGCTACTTTTGGCATTTGGGGCTGCATTGATTGGTGTTATGGCGCTTCACAAGCTCAGAGAGAGACGTATCTTCAACCTCCTTTTCGAAGAGAAAAGCCGTCAGCTCATTTCTTTTCAGCTGCTGTTGCAGGTTCTTCTCTTTCTCTCTCCATCATCATGCAATGTTACTTTTTACGCATCAGTCTCTTTCAATGACAAATCAGAAACATCATGCATTCATTCTTGTTTAGTTTTACTTTTCACTTTTTTTAGTTTGACGATCCAAGACCAAGAGGGTAACTTTGGATTTTCGTTTTTTCTTTTTATGTTTTTAAAGGGAAAAAATGGGTAAAATCAATCCATTTTAAAATGAAAATAAAAAATTACTTTCTGGAAGTCGCGGTGGAAATCTCTTGATTTACAATGTATAGTAAGAAACATAATATCTTGTGCATTCCGAAACCATCAAGGCAATATGTAGTCAATGATGCATGAAAATGATCACCATGAGTACTATAGCCAAGTTAAAATATAATCACTGTGAAAATTGATGCATTTGATAATTATAATTCTTGAGAGTTGGAACGCTTGAAATTGTGGGAATGAGGAATCACATGGGCTCTTAATGTTCTTCAACATGCATCGTTCATCGCCAATGTTGCGTCTTTATAGAGCAAACTCCTCTACCTTTATGATAGTTTGACATTATTTTCACATTTTAGTGAGATGCATAGTTGTTTCTTTGCTTATGTTGCTACAGTGTCATCTTCTGGGGTAACGCTGGACTTTGACTATCACAGTTGATTTACCTACATATGTCCTTCCTTGCCTTTTGCCTGGACCTTTGTTTCTTTGAGCTTTCTGTTGGCATATACATAAGCATGGAGATGCGCATACACATAGAAAGAGAAAGCTGAACAGTGGATGACATTTGATGTTAAATTCAATAAGAGATGTTTTCGACACTTTTAAAGTTCTAAACGTTAACACAGTTATATATTCTTAATTTTCAATTGCAGAAGGAAAGAGAATGCACCAAAGAAATGAAAAGGAAAGCTGAAGCGACGAAAGCAAAGATATACTCCCTTTGAAACCAAAAAATGGAGCTTGATCGCAGGCTCTTGGAAATGCAATCAACAATTGATTCTTTTAAAGATGAGCCAAAGACTATGGAGTCTGAAATGGACGAGAAGCAAAACGAGATCAAACTGCTACGAGATAAAGACGGGGATTCAGGAAATGAAAATCCTCAGGTGGTAGCTCTAACAGCGACTTTGAAGCAAAAGGAGGCTGAAATTGAGGACTTGAAGCACCGTCTTAAATCCTCCATTAGAGTTTTGTCAGTGAGTACTGATGACCCATCAAATCCGCCAGTAAATGTAACAGTTATGGGAAGTGTGGAACAAAAGGAAAAGACAGAGTTCAGGCGTGAGGTGGGTGGGCGAGGACATGAATCTTCATATAAGGGCGGTGATAATTCATCAAAAGATCAGGATGGAAATGATAAGACTAAATCCATTTTTTCTCAAAAGGAAGACAACAGAGAAGGGGTTGAAGATGGATGTGAAAAAAAGGGTGAGACTACTTTTACAATGGACATGACAGGAGGAGGAGGACAACTGCAGAAACTGGGAGAAAATGCCAGAAATGAAGAAGCCGCAAGAGATATGGAAAACGAATATTCTAAACATACAGGTACTTCTAAAATAGATGAAGAAAAGAATCATGCAAATGCTACTGATACAATTGATGACATGAATGAACAAGAAAAGAAGAGTAGCTTCAGTGCAGAGCAGCTTGAAAAACTTAAAAATCGCAAACAGGAAGGTGAGAGTCAAAAGCTCCAACGAACTCTCGAAGGTGGGAAGAAACTGGAAATAGATGAGAATTCTAGAATTTCAAGATTGCCAGGGATATTCGGTTGTTTAAGGAAAACAAAGAGGAAAAGGTGGGAGAGTTCTGGCTAGGAATAGGTTCCTAAAGAGGAATGTAAATTCCTAAATAGACGGAGGATTGGAAAACATGAGAAGTAGAAGATTCTCAGCAGAACATAAAGATGCTGTAAAATGCAGGGAAGATAGAGCAATTTCTGAAGAGGGGAAAGCAGAAAGAGAAGAAACAGAAACAGGTCTGAGGAAGGAAATAGATCATACAAAAGCTAATTTGTTCAAGCATCAGAATTCTGAACACACTGAAGTTATGAAGAAACACAGAAAAATGAGTGCGGAGACAAATCATGAGGTTGCAACGTCTAGAACCCACGATAACTTACTGGCACGAGTAGTAACAGAGAACACAGGTGTCAATAGAGAAGCCAGTAATTATACACATGATGCCAAGCAGCTGAAAGTTGAAGCAGCCGACATCAAACAGAATATGAACAGTAGAGACGTCAAGGAACTGGAGAAAAAAGCTGAACTTAACTCCACTGACAGAGATGCAAAGGAAGAAGATATGGAGGTTGCAGATAAACAAGAAGCAGAAACAGAAGCAGCTAATGGTGACCTTTCCAGCGACTTTATGTCTGATTCGGAAGATAAAGAAGGGTTAACAGATGAGGCCGAGTTTTAATTAAAAATAAGTGTTTTTAAGTGTTGCGTCCTAGTTGTGGAGCTTTTTAAACAGCCTTCTTGCTCTTAGATCGGTAACTAATTGTCCTATCTTTTAAAAGTAAAATCATGTTTAGAATTAATGGAAATCACTAAATTCTATCATTGCCAATATTTTGGTTCGAAAATCTGAAAATAAAAATGTTGAATTAGCTCAGTGTAGAACCACAAGATGATATGATATCGGAAAGAAATTATGCAGGATGCTTGTAAATAAATACCCAATATTCTCTACATTTTTCTCCAAATCCATGACAAAATGGATCTCTAATGCTCCAGTTAGTCTTGTCTAAAACAAATTTAAATGGAAAATTCTTTTTGAAAAAAAATAATGATAAATTAACTCATGAAAGATGAACTAGTGAGAAATCTTGACAGATTCCCGACCTGGCTTGTCATACTGGTAATATTGCTTACTATTCCTTAAACATCTATAGCATACCCATCAAGAGATTTTGGGTCTTAACAATTGTTACATCCCATCATTGACAGGACAGGCCAATGAAACAGGCTGTGTGTTTCACTGATAACGAACTGACCTCCAAGTTTACTCACTCATCATTCTCCAAGGGAAAAAGAAATTATGAAGAGTAAAACAGAATAATTTGCCAACAGAAGAAAAAACAATATCCAAGGACATGAAAGTACCAGCCACACCTTATTACTTGGAATATTCTAAAAAAATAAAAGCTCCAACATCATTACTGAGCTGTTTCCACCTCGTTCTGCAACAAAACAAAAGTTAAAATGAGGGAAGAACCGACAGTAAATATACAGCAATAAACCAATAATGTAAACTCTGATTTCATATTCAGGCATCCCTTCATGCTTTTAGAAATTGTTAAGCACCCATATCATGAATTCCTTGTTAGATGCTCAACTAAATAGGGTTATCCCGGTAAATAGCATCAACAAGGAGATGAACGACAGTGGACAGCAATTGCACTTCAACTCCAAAACATAAACATAAGCTCATAAAGTATGGAAAACTTCAAATGGTTTTTCAACCATAAAGTATAAATTATCCTGATGGCTCTAATTTAAGGATCTGGATATTCACTGCAGCTAATAATATTCATGGCATGGTGATTGAGTGAACTGAGAATTTGTGTGATAGAATGACCTTAAACGATTTATAGTCGTAAAATTTAGCATTAAATAAACTTTTGGCCATATAAAACTTGTAAAATATTAAACAACAGTAAATTAGAAGGTAGAAAGTAGATACATCTCCAACAAAATGGGATATATGCTCGACTCAACAGAGAAGCCACAACAAACATTGACCTAAGGCATTCTGTGGAAAAGGAAATTTTGATAGACACTCCAGTCCGCCATTCTTGACTTCCATCATATCATGAAAAATGGAAAGAAGAAATTGCAGAGATTCCAATCTAATGGCAAGTTCAGAGTACAAAAGTACCTCTTCCTTCTTGCCCTTGCCTCCAGTGAAGTACTTGTATCCACCAAAGACAAGCAGACCCCAACCAGTTAAAGAGACGATAACAAACTGCACAATCATACAAAAATGTCAATACAGTTTCCACATTTATGCCTTCTCTAATTTCCGCCAAATTTGCTTTCTCACCAATATATACTACACTGATTCAGAAGCAGAGCCTATGAACTTGTTCATAATAGCATATTGAGTAGAAATAAAGAAAAAATCAGATTGTATGATGTAATGTAATAGCTGCTCAAACTCAACAAAATTTTAACTACAAGTAAATGAAATGTAGCATTGACAATCGAGAGGACTTAGATTATGTATATAAAACTAAACCAACAATAGCCCAACTTCTCAATCTGCAAAGCAAAACAACAGGAAAAAGAAAAAAAAAATCGGAACTAGGATATGAAAATGAAGGGAAAAACTGAAATATAAAGCATGAAAAGAAACAAACTGACATGTTCTTCTTTCCACTTAGATGGATTCATTGGGTCTTGCCAAATATTAACCTTTGGAGGTCCATGGTGATCTGCAAAGGAAGCAAGTTTTTAACTTCTAAGATCCTTTAGTTTCAACTATGATCTGAGGTAAATGAGATTTAAATTGAAGTAAATCGGGAGACAAATTTTACATTTATTGAATATAATATAAATTTAAAATGCAAAAAAAAAAAAGGGCACATGGAGATTACCTGCGGCGGCGGCAAGACCACGGCGAGGAACGAGAGAAGCGGCTTGAGACGGAGCGGGTGTTCGAGCTAGACTCGCTGCTCTACGAGCTGCAACCGCCGCCAAAGTAGCCATCTGGATAGTTGCTTTTGCTTTTACTTTTCTTTCTATGCGTAGGGTTATTTCTTTAAAGAGGAGCAAGCACAAGTGAATCGACGATGCTTTGCAACAGAAATGGGATAATCGGATTTTGTATGGAGGAATGGAATTTAAACGACATCGTTTGATTAGTCAATCATTCCCTGGTGAAACATCCAAACCGGTGCGTTAGCACTTTACTGTTTTATTCAATTAATATTTGATTTGGGTAAACTTTTTGTAAGCATGGGAAGTTGATGCATCAATTTTTAAATTAAAAAACTCATATGCTTTTATTTAGCGGATTATAAAGTGTTTATTTAAATGAAATTTTTTAAAAGTTAATTTTATTATTATAGAACTCTAAATCAAAATTTGACTTTTCTAAATAAATCTAATTTTTCTTAAATTAATCCACTTAATTTTTGGCCCAAAACATATCTAAGTAAAAAAAAAATTACTTAGATAATATTTAGTATCATTTTCAAAATCATCATGATATAATTACTATGGTGATATGATTATTAAAGTGATTTAATTACCAATAATCTTATATTAACATGTTTAATACAATACTATGGTGATAATATTATCAAAGTGATTTGATTATCAATAATCTTAAATTAACATGTTTAATGTAATATTATAAATAATTTATGCTCTTAAATCATTGTATTTGATATTACATGAAAAAATAAATTATATAAAAAAATCCAAAATAATCTTTAAAAACAAAATATTTAATATTTATTGAATCAATAATTTATAAAATAATTAAAAGTTATTTTATAAAAAATACAAAGAATAAATCAATTTTGATAAAAATAATTTCAAAAAATTATTAAATAAATTCATTATTTTATTAGTTAATATTAATTTATAATTTATAATTTTTTAAAAGAAGTGATTGAAAAAACTAGTCTTTTAAAATTTTATTGATTAAGATAATGTTAATTATTTTTTTAGGATAAATTAATTAAAAAATAATATTGAAAATCATTTTCTCATGATAATAAAACTTTCTTATCTTTTAGATTAAGAATTAGATCATTCCTCAGTGCAATAATTTTATCACCCAATAATTTGGATTTGGATTGTCCATATATAGAGCAACAAAACAATTACTACAAAATGGGAAGACCAAAAATAAAGCAGAGTGGAATGATCTGACAATCAGTAGAAATCCCACGATCACAAAAAGGAAGAACAAGTCTTATGACTATAATCACTAAATCAATCCTTGTCCTGTATCTCTGCTCTGAGAAGCTATGAAGAATCAATTTTCACCCTTTGTAAAAACAACAAACTCAAAATCAAAGTAAAAGCTTGACTATCAAGTGCTTCAAGTTTCCCCTTTATGACTTTGACCCGTTTCAAGACATGCTCAACATCTGTGTCCATTCGAGCTCCAATTATTAGTAATTGGCTATATGTTCGGTGTCTTCATTCTTTGTTGGCATTGTCAAAGTTGTTTGCCCTCCTAACTCCGAAGAATATAAAATACAAGTGTAGAAGAAACATCAAACTTATCCAAAAAGGTTATACCCAGTCATTCCTTTTCTTCCCTACTCTAAACAGAACGGAGTACACTTGTTGTGGTAACTTTTCATTGGTATAAAGCGGATATGAAACACACTAGTGCTATTCTCATGAAATATTATTAGTGAGTGAAAATTGTATATGTGCATCATTGAAGAGGTTATCCTACGAAGGAACATGAGATCATAGTCGAATATTGGAGTTTTCTCTTCCCAAATTTAAGCACATATGATCTAATTTAAATCATCTCCTAGTAAATCAGGCCTCGAATTTTGTATAACCAGATATTGCAACATTTCATCTGGTGATATCGTTGCCATAGTGCACAACCATCACCAGAGACTTCTTTTCAGTCCATGTGTAGTGTTCTTTTTTTTTCCCTATTGGCAGATGCATGAATGAAGGAGTCACGGAAATATTTCTTCTTGTTCTTGTTGTTGCTGCTGCTGCTGCATCTGTCTTTGCTGTGAATTTAGTTGAATAACATAGCACATTAAGCTCCTGTCCTGAATCTGCCAGATTAAGCATCAGACAAAAATCATATTTGATTTCTGAAAAAAGCACAGTCTGCAAAAAAATATATGTTAAAGTGGTGTTATCCCACATCGGTTAAATATTAAGTTTCCTATAGGCCTCTTCATTTATTGTCAATTGGATGCTTTAAAATATATAGCTATAAATGCAAAAGACTTGTAACTTTCACTGGTATGTGACCCTGTATATTACACATTTATACAAAGAAATTACTTTTCTAACTTTTAATGCTATAAAGAGAAGCCATACGACTTGGAGTCTTAACGTAATTAGTTTGATGATTCAATATCAATTCATATAAATGATATGAAGCTACAAAATATCACCTAATCAATTTTACCTCTAGGATAGATATCATCCTGAACAGTTCAAGGCACTCCTCTAGCAGTAGCTTTTCTTGTGCAACCACCTCTGCTAATTCCGAAAGTAACAACGCAGTCTTCTCAGTCTGAGATAACATCTGCCAGGTAAGGACCATATAGAAACTACGGAGAATACTGGTTTAGTATAATATTTGAAAATTTTCATACCCCTGGTGAGAAAGCAGTTAGCATTAACTTGATGGAAGCAGTGAGATCAAATGCATGTCGAACTGCCAATGAAGCTGATTTTGCATCTAACTGCATGCCTAATTTTTGTCACTAAAACTGATTTGTATAGCTAATCAACAATTAAAAGCAACTGTTGGAAGTTATTTGTCTACCTTAGCTCCTTCTATAAGAGGCACTTTGCAAACAACAGAATGCAAACATTCTTTAGTCATGGAAATAGCTGATAGGTGCTGTCTTTCCATATCGGCCCAAGATTCCAATGCCTTCATCTGCAGATATAATAACCAAATCAATTGACATAGTCCATGAACAGCATAACTAAGTAAACATTCTAGTAAGTATGATAAAGACGGTCTAGCTTGCACTGACTTGAGATTGAAGTATAAAGTCCATCTTGATCTCAAGCTTTTCCTTCTGAAGCTTTAATTTCTTTTGCAGCACTGAATATTGGAGCTTCATAAGACTATTCCATCCATATAACAGATAGTTCTGAAAAATCATTAAAGGGTTAGTTATTAGCTTGCAAACTTTGTAGTTTGGACTGTCAGGAATTCAAAAGTCATTTTCCTGGTGTAATTCTAACTTTCAAATTAGTTAAAGAAGAAAAAGTTGCAGATTAAAGTTGAGTTAATGGTAGTCATCACAAGAAGATAAGTTATTGAGAAAAGTTTGGAATGCCCACAGATTTAGTGGGAGTTCATAATGGATCCATGTCCCTAAACACTCGATTTTGTGTTACTTGCTCATCGTCTGAGCATGGTAAGCCAATCTCACTATCCTCTCACCGAACTGAAGCTTGTTCGATGGTTAAAGGTTCTTAAATAGACATTTCTTCCCGCAAAACAGAATTAATAGGTTATATAAACAATCTTCAACATTAATGATTTGATATCTTTCTTTTCTTTTGGTGGAATTCTTATCTCTGTTTCTTAACAACCAACTTTTCTCAATCTTTTCAACATTGGTTCATGTTAATAAGTTAGAGAGTTTGAGAAATTGAAGCATCTGATTTTAAATCCCCTTTCAGATAGGCAGAACATGATGTACCAAATTCTAGTGTATTTGGTTGCCTTTGGGGTCAGATATGTTTGCAAGCCAATTGTTACCTAAGTTATTAGTATTTGACTCCATGTCTCTAGCCGGTATTATCCTAAACCAAAATCTAAGATTAATCTTCCCTTTAAACCTAATTTAATAGTACTTTTTCTTTCTTCATATAAGAAACAACACAGTGTATGCATACCTCAACTTGAGTAGTTATGTTCTTATTCACAGCATCAGCTTTACCATTTGCATACCGCCACTGCATCAAACGGTTCTGGATCAATCTAAGCTGATGGACACTTTCCACATCACCCGAACCCACTTGCATAGTAGATGACTTCCTACTCTTGAACAAATCCATTAATCCCATATTCAACAATTTCTCCACACCTCTGGTCCTGGAAGGACTATTTGGCGATTTCAAACTCGAAAATGACATTGGCTTGACCATGTTTTCAACTGACATTGGTGGTGATCCTGACCGCCCTGGGGACAACGCCCATTGTGACGTAGAAGTACCATGTCCAGTGAGTGAATTAGCCCTTCTTATAGCGTTTTTAATGGTAAACTTTTTATTCATCTTTGGGGAACTATCAGCTGACACCGGATTAGGAATATTTGAATCCCAAGTAGTATCTCTCGATCTATTCTTAGATAGTACCTCTTGCAAAAACTTGGAAGAAACTTCTATACCAGATTTTCTAAAACTAAGAGAAGAATTAGTTTTAGTTATAGCTGGAGAATTAGTATTTGAGGCTGAATATTGGTCACTTAATTCAGATTCAGAATCCGATTTCCTCTGAGAAGATGCTCTTTTAAAAAGAGCATTCTCGTCAACAGAAAATCTTCCAGGTAAAATATTCGGAGAAGAAGATGATGATGTTGACGGCGATAATGACTTTTTGGGGAACCCCAGTTTAGCTGTGTACCTCATGGATCCCCCAAGAGAAGGCCCATGATTTTCTTTGGCACTTTCTTTCTCAATATTCTCAACAAACCTACTGACTTCTGTATGAGTTGTTTGCTTATTAAGTGAAAAGGAACCCTTACTTGTTCTTTTTTCATGGCTTTTTCGCTCGATAAAATCTTTTAGCCTCTCATTTCCAAGATGATCGGCAAGAGTACCAAGTTTTGGGGTTGATGATGAAGAGGAAGTAGTGGTGGATGAAGGCCATAGGCCTCGAAGTAAGCCGCCGGGATCTTCAAGGCTGCGATGCTTTCTCGTGTCAGTAGAGGTGGATTTGCGTCGGAGAGGGGATAAAGCTTTGTTTGGAGACTGGAAGTCCGGAATCATGAGCCGGTGATGTGGTAGGAGAAAGGAAGCGAGAGCTAACCTCACGGGACTTGGATTTTCTCGACTTCAGAGATTGCTCTGTTGTGGGTGGTTCATTGTCGGTTTTCATGATTTCTGAAGAGAGAAAGGGTAAGATTTCAGATTTTCTTTTTTGAAATGAAATGGAAATGGAGGAGAAGAAAAACAAACATTTGAAAGTGGCGGCAAATAGATTAGAGTTTGGCCGGCGAGTGACGTGGGAATGGGATATATGTGAAATTATTGATATGACCTTCCCATTGGTTGGAGTCTTGGAAAAACCATTGGGCATTAGAGACAAGAAGGGGTTACAAGAGTGAAAGGCAGAGAGTTTTTGTTCTACAAGGATTCTATTGCGTTTATTTTTGGTGTCGTGCCGGCATTCCGGAGCTTCTGCCATGTGGCTAAATTACCTCTCCTTTTGTTTTTGTTTTTTTTTTTAACTTTTTTGGATAGATTCATTCAATAAGTATCTACGGAAATAAAACAGAGGAAAATGGAGGAAAACAGTTCTATCGGACCAGGAGATACAACACTGGTTGTCCGTTTAAGTAAGGAGTGAAGTAGCGGCGAGAGAAAAAATTAAGGTGTTCGCCGCTGCAGGGGATCGAACCCGGGTCGCCCGCGTGACAGGCGGGAATACTCACCACTATACTACAACGACTTGGATGCTGAGAGAATAAATTATTTATAATATAATAACAACCATACTGTCTTGCTCTATTGCTGCGGCTATTTTTCAGTCGTTCAAATTAAAAATAATGGCAAAGTTTCAGTTGCGGCCATCTGATGACCAATGACATTAGAACAGATTGGGCTGCAAGAAAAACTGATATGGGATAACCCAATGTTAAGACGCTGGTGAATAATGATGAACGGGATTTTATGATTCATTTATTAATGTCATTCACTTTATCATTCCAACCGCCATCCCCACATAAAAAAGAAAGGTCAATTGGGAATTTAAGGCTTCAAAAGCTCTTGCCATCCGTCGGTTATTAGAGGCATCCTGAAATCGTATGAGTGGAAATATGACTTTCAGATTAAGTTTTGTACTAAAAGATGCTGCCAGAGGAAGTGACAATGCCATACGCAAAAAAAAAAAAAAAAAAAATCAAAGAACGGTATATGCAAATAGAGCTATTACACATTTTCGTTAATCCATGTAGAGGACCAAAGATTTATGGATCCATACATCTTGACAGGAAAGGAATCAATAAAAAAGAAGGAAATGGATCCATGCATCTCTATCAGAAAAGAATCAATAAAAAAGAAATAATAGGAATTGACCAATCAATCTATTTATTAAAACAAATAAAATGAAACGAAAGACGAAACATAAATCATAGATCAACTAAGCCCTCTTGACCCTTGGGGACTTGCTTAACAATAAACAAGAGGAATCTAAACTTTCTAAGTGAGATGTGATAGGAAAGACATGCATCAAAGAAAGAAGTTGCCTGTTCAGCTATCTTGAAAATTAGTGTGAATAATATATCTCATTGATCTAACCAAATAATATCATAATCCGTTTCTCCAATGGACATATAACCATAACATCAAAACGTTAAAATGATGTGCAACACCTTGGATTAAACAATAACAACATTATACATGCATTAAATTAGAGACCTGACTTAAAGTCAAAGATTATTCCATATGCCTAAAATTGGGAAAGGAAGGTCATTTATTGCAGACTTACGATGGTAATACAGTTACAGCTTGAACCTAAATGATGTAGACCAAAATTGTTTGTTAATGAAGGGTCTTTAAATAATTAATATGAATGAACAATATATACTACACAGCTAGGTTGAAATGAATTAAACACCAATGTCTACACCATCAGCCATGCTTGACCCTCTTTAAAATTGGATACAAAGCATGCTTTGACCTCAAAAATTTGAAGCTTCTAAAGGCATGAACTTGTCTTGGAAAGACTCAGATTCATGGATTTATCAATGAAAATTGCACTGTTGCATAGAGGGTGAGAATAATCAACATATTTCTCCCCAAAGGGGCTTTGTTTTCTCTATCCTATTTCAACCCGGCTTTTTGATTTACATTGAAGTGTAGAACAGCCCCTTTCTCTATCAACTGGGAATCAACATTTGTATAGCCCAGCCCCAGTACATGCCATGAGGGATCCAATGCCTCTGTCAGTCCATAGAATGTAAGCAGTCCAGGTGGCAGTGTCCCAAGTTTCCACAATGTCCGGTCCACATTCCTTTCTTGCCAATAGTGATAGATGCCAGTCACATTCCTCTTCCTCCACTCAACCAAATCAAAAACATTCATCCCAAATGCCCAACCACATGCATCAGGATCAAAATGTGCTCTTATAAGAGGGTGAGAGTAATTCAGGTACTTGTGATATCTGTGAAATGTCTCCATGCATGTCTCAACCGCTCCATTAACATTGCCATTCAAATCAATGGAAAATAGACCAGACAAATCCTTCTGAACCACAATGTCATCATCAAGAAATACCACCTTCTTTAGTGCTGGAAAAACTTCAGGAAGATAAAACCTCAAATGATTAAGAATTGAGAGGTACTTAGGATTTCGGAACTTGATTGGAGTCCGACCATCATCATTATGGCCGGAAAAGTAATAACTCTGAGTCTCAGAATCTTGGAGCTGCTTAAGAACAGGAACATAAGAAGCATTCAGCCACTTGAAGTCCTCAAACTTCTGAACCTCAACAGTTACTCCCTGAAAACTGTTCATAGTAAACCAGGCCTTCATCGCAGAATAGTTTATTTCATCAGTTACAAGATGAAAGACAACCTTATCTGGATTTTTGGAATTTAAAGCTGTTGAGTTAACCACCACAGAACTTGCAAGGATGTTATCAGAGAAGACACAGAAATGATACATACTGTTATCTTTAAGTTTTGCTTCCAATTGCTTTCTTTCCCTGAGTTTCCTTTGTAAATTTGGGTTTCCAAACCATTCAGTAGTCAACTGAACACCGAGACAATATAGACTTTTGGGAACTTCTTCAGCAGCTATTTGTCCATACTTCGAACTTTTCTCACTTACCGAACTCATCTGTTCTTCAAGAGCTTGGATTTTGGCTTTCAATCTCATGATCATTGTTGCACTGTCATAGTGGAGTTGCTGGGCTTGGTAGAGCAAAAGTGCCATATCACGAACTGCAGTCTCAGATTCTCCAACTGTCAAAGGAGTTCGTCTAGTGGCAGCATTTGACAGAAGAGCCTGTGAATTACGGATCTGGGCACTTAATTCCCAAGCAAGTTGGAGATTGTTGCTTTCTTTGGCTATCACGACAAAAGCCTTCGCAAGAGAAATTTGGTCACTAAGTTGCCTAGTGACAGAGTTGGGGCTTAACATTTCATCAGTGATGTTTAGACCTTCCATAATTCTGTCATGCCAGTAAGGTCTCTGCAAACAAAGAATACAAACACGTATTTTGAGAACGTCACAAAGATAAAAGTTGAAGGTTGAATGGTGGGGAACAAAAGAGAATTTATACTTCTTTTTAAAAATATGACTATAAATGGAATTAGTGCCACTAGAGAACATAGGCATCTTAACAATCTTATCTAGTCATAGGATTTGAGGTGAATATAGGAAAATAAACTTGCATCATTATGCAACTTGGCATATCCAGCATTTGACTATCTCATCTTGAATGGCCTGTCCCCATCAATGTTGCCACTGCATGTTAAACATTAACACTCTTACTTCTTTACAGGATCAAAAATATCTTTAAAATTGTTGCTTAACGTCAACATGAATTCCAGATCTTCTGCTTATATAGAGAACCATGCTTCTTGAAAGTAACAGTTATCCATTCCCAATCTCATGATCATGTGCTTTGTACTTCTATATCCTGATAGCCTGTAGCACAAAGCAAATGGGAGCATGACAGAAGCACAGCATTGCTGATAAGCATTGCTTTTGTTTAACCACTTTTTCTCTTTCTCATATTAAGGATCAATTCATTTCCCTAAAAGTTATGATATATTGGTCTCAAACACCTCTTTCTCCTCTTTCTGTCCTAAAGCTTCAAAAGATGCCGAAAACCACTAACGTATAAAAGGAGGCGAAAGAGTAATCCTCTTTACTAAAGAAGAATGATCCTAATATGAATCACTCAGCTGCTATACAAACAATATAAAGGACTATTTCCCCTCAACTGCAAATAATTAACATGCATAACTCTTCTAAACCACATATTTTATGTAAATGGAAACAAGCCATATGTTCCTGTGGAGATGAGGTGATTAAACCTCCAAGCTATTCCTGAAAACAAAATATGTTATCAGACCATTACATGACCCTCTTCGTTTAAAACACCCATATGTTGTTCAAGGCATGTTTTCAAGAACAGAGACGCATAAGCCACCAAATCATAAGACCAAACCTACAATCACTTAACATTTTAGAAGCCTGAAGTTACCATTCAACATCCTTACAAGCTCAATTACTCAGTCCTTGTACAGCAATCAAAGTTGCACTAAACTTTCTCCAATTTAGATTTCTACTTTCCAAAGTTTGTCCTATATGACAGTGTCGAACTATTACTTAGTCCTAGACCAAAACAGATTAAATATAAATGATCGGCTTTAGCATGCATAGATGATAATTGACATGCCAAACTAACTTCTTTTTTGAGGCCAAAATTATCATTAGCATTCAAAACCATTTTAGCTATTAAAGAAAAAGACCGTTTTAGCTAAACAGATCCATCCAAAGTAATGAGTCAAACAAAGAACGAATTCTACACAACTCTTTCTGACAAAAAAGTCCCAACGAAACAGTTAGAATTATGTAGTGTATAAATCTCTGAAAGTTGAGACTTGTCCGAGATCCTATGAGAAACTGAAGAAACAGATCGAGCAAAATACAGACACAAACTGCCATCTCAATTTTCATTCGCATTATACACAGAACTGGAGACAGCTAATCGTTCCAATGATAAGAAGCAAGTTTATTTTCCAAAATTCACCTCAATCACTTAATTAAACCGTCACCCAAAATAGAAATTTGTTCAAATAGGTCTAGAAATTACAAAAACAAAGCGGAGTTTTCAATCTCGAAAAGAATTTCATTACAGAAAAAAAAATCAAAGAAAAAAAGGTTGACCTTTACCCTAGAAATAGTGGGTCTTGATTCAATCTGACCCTCCTTGCTCAAAATCACGATGAAAACCAACACCGCAATCCCGCATATCGTCCACCATACCACATTGGA